ATAGGGCTGCATCCAAGTTCTCTAGACGGGGCGGAAACGTCATGTAACACTATCGATAAGCTTCATATCAACACGATTAATATTCGCGAGCACAATCAGCAGAACACAAGGACTCATGACCCATTTATATAGCCTTCAACTCAAGGTAAAACAATTCCGGTTTGAATCCCAGGTGTTTCACATTTTGGATTGGGTATGACCGTCTGGTGATGGGTAATAAGCCGGAACTTGCCATTCCGATCTTTTGTATCTTGATCGGTCCTTTATGCCTGCATATATGTAGGTAAAAGTGCATGACTGAAGAAGACATGGAAGTGTGGAAAGGGCATTTCTGGCTTATAAGCCGTCATTAGACAGCCATACGCAATTGCAGGTGTTGCGGCACCCGGGACTCGAACCCGCGGCCTTTTATGGCTACACTCTAAGGCTCTAGCAACTGCGCCCCATGTTCCTTGACTTGCCGGTTTCGAGCGGTAATATACGCAATGATAGAAAAGCGCTCACCGATTGGTTACGGAACTCACTCTTCCCGCTGTGGCTCTAGCCTTGCTCCCTACGCCCGCCAGCCGCCGCTTAAGAGTTAACGCGTTTATATACTTATGTATACTCCCTATCAAAACCGGCAAAACAACGAGCCCGAGGCGCTGTGGTTAGGACGTTGGACTTCCAGTCAAAAAGGTGGCGGGTTCGAGCCTTGGGAGTCGCTATCCCTAGGGTTGAATTGGGTTGGCTGCTGACGCCGAATAGGCTAAAAATGGCCATTCCGTTCTCTCCTCTCTTTGCTGACTACGTATTTCTGTTGATGAGTGGCTGCTGACGGGATTCAAAAGCTAGCCCACAGGTACAACAGGATAAGTGAGTTCCGAAACCAATTTTTGAGCGCCTGTTTTCCATAATATATCAGAAATGCGTAGTATGGCTTGCACACGTTTGCTTCATGTGGGAGGATTCACTGCTGATCGCTGGCACAGTGGAAATTGTATCGAGAGGAGGCTACCTGATCAAACGCACTACAAACACGTTTAGCAAAGTTTGTATGCTCCAAAACATATTGAATTGTATTAGGTAACCGTACACTGATCTGTTCTAGGATGAACTCATCCTGGTTTATGCCGTGTCGTGGTTGATGGACGCGTCCAAGCCTGCAACGGCATCAATCAGGATGGGTTCATCCTGAGACAGCTCGGTGTACGGTTACCTTTTACTATATACTCCCGATCAAAAACCGACAAGAGAGCAAACTCATGGCTCAATGGTAAGGGCGTTTGACTCTGACCGAAGAGGTCACAGGTTCGAAACCCGAGTGTGGCAGGAATTTCTGCGGCAAAATTGGAGTTGGTTATCGCTAGCTGGCCACGGTTAATAAGCCAGAAATAGCTATTCTAGCTTCCCTGTCTTTGACGGTAATACCTAAAAATAAATCGTTTCCACAACGTTTTATACCGTTAACTTCACACTGTTTTTTACGCGTTTTATACTTCCCGTATATGTCGTCACATCTCCTGCTTTTGACGTCAAAGAGGAAGTAGTAGATTTGTCTTCTTTCGCAATGAAAACAACCAACCAAGTCTAGTCAGCTGACTCTGTGGTTTTTTGCTCTTTACCTGCGCCAGGTTTCTCAATGGTGAGTGAAGGGTGCCACGTGTCATTTCAGAGTTGTCATGACAACTTGCGTGCAATGGGCTCCAAAAGAGGGGCGGAGTCTTGTTAGTTGCAGTAAGCCACTGAGAAGAAAGTAACGCAATGTCTGGGGCAATCATGTTCTTCGCGTGCCGTTTTAAATTAATGTTCGAACCAACATTCCATAAATTATTTTATACGGGTAATTTATGTACAGGAAATTTCAGTATTTATAGGATGCATTCGCTATGCTGCAGCCTACTTATGAGAGGTAACGGTTGTGTTCTTCACCAAGGGTAGTTGCTGTCTGATGGCCACCAGTTGCGTCCTTAATCTCTAAAAACTTCGTTAGAGGTACTGGATATTCGCTGGAACTTAATCATGTAGGTTTGCTGACAAAGACAAGAGAGACTGGGACGGCTAATTCTGGCTTATTAGCCGTCAGCAGCCAGCCATAGCCGGCACCACTCGACACTCGAACTCGCGACCTTTTTGCTCAGAATCTAATGCCCTAACCATTCAACCACGAGCTTGTTGTCCAGCCAGTTTAGGTCGGAAGATATTGACACTCGATGGACGTCCACCGACCGCTAATGGGACTCACTTGTCCCGCTCTGCCTTGGGTCTCATTTCTCGGGCCCTGACAGCAGCCGTAGCGGCTGGTAGTCTAGACAGATAGTATTGCCGGCGACGGCTAATAAGCCAGAAGTGATCAATCCAATTTCTCATGTCTTTGCCGGCACTACTATATACCTAGACTACTAGCCGCTACGACCACTGTCAAGAAATGAAACCCACGGCAGAGTGGGACAAGTGAGTTCCGTTGGTGGTCGGCAAACGTTCATTAGCGACTGAAATTTAATCATCCATGTTGGAGATGGGCGTGATGACTGCTCGGCCATCTGGTTCGCAGACACTGACAATGGAAACAGTGTTCGTCATGTCGTTCCTTGAGTGACTAATTACTTTGGCCAGACTACATAACAGCACAAAATGTGAGTTGGGGAGGTCATTGTACTTTTTACTAGACTGGGGAGGGGGGGAAATATGACTTAAGCAGCTCACAGCTCACGCGAGATGTGACAGTTGCCCACGCCATATTCGGGCTGCCATGCTGCTAACGCGCCTTCTGCGCGTGAATCGGCGTCGGCGGACATCTTTGGACGCAATACGACAGTACCCCGATAGCATCAACTTCTACCTCGACGAACACTGACATCAAACCATTTGACATCCATCCCGGCGAACACACTCTCAATATCTGGTTGCCCTTAATCACCAGCAGCGTCCTCCCTACAGCAGCCTCTGCGTGTAGTACCACCGACACCCCTTTCCTCATTCCCACCACAACCACCGCCAACATTACCACTGAAACAACCTCCAACGGCCCATCAGCTGCTTCCCTCAACGCCAATGCCCCCACTAATAGCGATAGAGACCCGATATGAACCTGTCCTCATCGTGATTGCACATTCACCACGCACATCGGCCTGGCCGGTCGCTTGGGAACCACTACACAGAGACTGATTAATCAGTGCCTGGTCTAAGACATCATGTCACCGCGTCCCTCTCCACTCTCATACCGCTTACGCACATTCACCTACCACATAGGCGTATAAGGCCACATTCGCCTCAACGAAAGCTTGTGGTAAATCACCATAGGCCAGCTCACCTGCTCACATAGTTTTCCCACCAACATTTCTACCGGCGATTTCGACGAATTCTACCGCGTGATCCACAGCACGGTGGTACAGGAACGGTGAATTGGGCATGCATTACTTTTAAATGACGGCACACTTGCGCCGCATCTACCGCACTCTCTCCTTCCCCAACTATCCAAGCCCGATGTC